TACTTTGGAAAAGAGTTGTGACACGGACATTTTCTGTCTCTATCTTTATTACATGACGGTCAGTTATGAAATAGCTATAGTGATTGCTGTCTTTATCTAATTTAGTGATTTAGTTTCAAAAACTTCAAAAGAAATTTATAGGTTAAGTTACATTTTCAAGCAGTGGCGTACTGCTCCAAATAGTTTCTTTGAAATTTTGTTAACAGTACTGACACTGACAGTACCTTATATTTAAGAAGAAGTGTTATGCGGTTAAGTACTTCTTACAATTTGCAACCGGCATCGCTGGTAAAACAGAAAAATACGGAATACCTAATCATACTGATTTACACTTTATAAGATTACATCACAATTTGCAGTTAAGTTTAAACACCATTCTGTACTTAGGTACTATCGTTGTTCCCAGCTAAGATTTGGAGAGTGTATCACATTTTCAGTATCTAATCGTTTTGCTTCTGGTCAAAACAACATTTTGTAATTTAACGAACGGCACCGTGGTAAGAAATTTGAAGCATGTTTAGTAGGTTCTCTATCTACTACTCTATGATAAACAGTGTTTTTACAACGTCCTCACATTTCCATCATGAATATTTGCTCTGATATGTAGAATAATTTCAGTAGAAATATATAGATTCATGTACCTCTATATTAAATAAAACTTACAAGTTAAAATTTGTTACATCTTTTAATTAAAATAACAATGAAAAAAAAAATACAAAAACAAGCATGGTTATCGAATTTCTGTAACTCGAAATAATTAAGAAATGTTCCACAAACAATTAATTAAATTGCCGAAGAATACATGAGGTTGGATTGAACATTTTTAGATAAAGGTGGAGCGTTAGCAGCAAAATCAACATTCCTACTTTTGTTATTTGGGTTAACTATTGAATTTTGGAATTGTGTTTTTGTACTTTTGATTTTAATTTCTTTTGCAATTCTAGATAATGTGTCTCCGTGTGTGGAATTCCCAGTAAAATGATAACATACGATTTGCTTCCATCGTAAGCTTACACCTCCTAACATAAAAAACAAAACATAGGTAGCGACTTCATTTAAATTTGTTAATGTTGTTTCCCAAAAGTAATGAGGAACGTCGACAGTATCCTTTACCTGGATTGATTGCTGCTTCGCCTAAAAATAAACAATAATCCCTTTCCTAATCGTTAAAATTTTGAATTTTGATTGTTAAATAGGTAAAAATTTCATGTAAAATTCCTGGTAAAAACGGTATGTGCTGAATTTTACGGCATAGGGTTTCACTTTGAAGGTAACGGAAAATTTATATTCAAAAGATATAGTTATGTCCTGATGTTCCACAGACAAATTTTTGTTTTAATGGCTTCTTCTATTGTTTTATTGTTCCAGCGTTTTGGTAGTTTACATTTCACACTTCAATTTTGAATTTGCTTTTCGTTGAGAATCCCTTTTATAGTTCTGTTTTATGCATCGTCCTTATTTTTGTAATTTATTACTTGCCCTTCTAAACTTGAAATGTTTGATTTCAAAACATTAATTTCTTTTTCAGCACCCCGCGTTATTTTTTCTTGTAACTTTTTTTCATTTGCAGTTTTTTGATGAAGTTGTCTTTTTCGAAAATAGTCTGCTGAACTTCATCAATAACATTTTTTTTTTGCCAAGGTCATTTTGACGTAAATTCAGCCACATTATAAATTGTTGGAATTGCGTTCTCACATATTTTGCATTCACTTGAAATATAAAATTCTCTTTTTTGAAGTGAACCTGTTGACCAAGGATTAGATGGAAAATACAATTTCGGACAACAACCTCGCAAATGTAAGCCCTTTTGCCAATTTTCAAGATGGATATTGCATCTGTTCTTTCCATTTGTTAAGTAATATCTTGTTTTCGGGGCCTTTAAACAATGAGAAACCATTTGCTTCTGTATTTCTACAGTTTCGTACACAACAGACGACGACTATTCTCTTCCACGTCTATGTACTAAATGACAATTACAAACTGTCAAAACATGACTCAAAAAAGGCATCCGTAGCCAGCATAGTAAAATAAAATTTACCATTAATTTTGACGTTTCGTGTCACAACTCTTTTCCAAAGTATATAGGGCCGGTTGCATAAACGCAAATCAAATTTAATCTCTGATTAACTCCATAGTAACGATTGTTATTATCATAGTTACAATTGTTCTTAATCAGAGATTAAATTTGATTTGCGTTTATGCAACCGGCCCCTAGGGTCTCTACCATGTACCATTTGATACTAACTGAATTTAAAATGAAATGCTTAATCCATGATTGCTTTGAGTTTGGCAATCTCATTTTGACAATTGTGGAAAAGGAGGTTACGCGAGTGTCCATGGTGGTACCGCAGCCAGTCGGAAATCTCCTCCGGCGCCGCTAGTAAATTTGTCAGTGTGCCTCTTGATCTTTTGCAACCGATTAATCACGAGAAAATTATTTCTAAAAATTCCTTTGACGGCATTTTATTCAAAGGTTACAACACAAACTCAAACAAGTAAGTAAATAATTTAACTACTAATCTGTTGAAAATGTTGGGCATTTTGGGGGATGCTACGGCTTTTTTGTAAATGGATGGCCGAAGAAGTCCAGAGGTTGCAGATTTGCACTTCAAAGAGGCTCTAGGTGACGTAGAGATGGCGAATTAACACATGCACATTAGCGGCGAACAACAGTATTGGTAGAGCACTTACGGCTTCCCTATAGCCCAGATTGATCTGACTGTATGTCGTCGATCCAATGGGGCTCTAGAGGCGAGTCAACAATGAAAAAAAAAATGTTAAAAATTAATTAACGTCAAAGTGACACTGCCAAAGTAAAAGCAATCATGGATTAGGCATTTCATTTTAAATTTAGATAATATCAAGTGGTACAGGGTATTAGTATTTTGGGTTGGGTAAAAATAATTTTCAGAAGTAATTCTCTCGTGACTAACCCTGTATAATTTTAAAGTGCCGTCATCGCATTAGTAGTGAGGATGATTAGACAAAATTTGCTTAGTGTTTTACCATCTACATAGTGTTGTTATGTTGATCTGTAATTAAAAATCGGTGTGAGTAAAACTCAACAATGTATTTCTTAGTAACACAAATTTACACGACACAACAATTATTGTGTACAACATAATTCCGGGACAACTTGACTGGTTTCTCTCGTTGACTGAATGAGTCGTTCCCGAAGGTGGCCTCCATTTAAACCCATACTTTCCTTCTAGATATTCCGCGATCAGGTTTTTCTGGAGTACCCGTCACGACTTCCGCTTCCAGGCTTTCTTTTCCGGCGGTCGTCACAGACGATGAGTCACCCATCATCGCCGCACGTACTAGAAAGCCCTCGAGAAAATCAATTGGTGTCGTACCGAGGCAGCGTATAGGTTTATATCGTAACGATATTACTAATGGATTAATAAATCATAATAAATAAAGATACATATAATTTTACACATTTTAAATAAGGTAGATAACCACACCTGTAGGAGTACCTATGTTATTTTACAGAATTTTAATAGTATCATTTATTCCGCAAAGTTGTAAGATGACTTAATTAATTTTTAGAAGGCGCTAAACGGATGAATTTCGATTAAGCATTTACCTTGCTTCCGATAACCTTAAAACGTTTGTATGATTTCAGAGTTTTGCAATTGTAAGGTAAAATTGTAAAATATTGTTGTAGAATATTGAGAATGTTTTACAAAAATCTGGATGCCTAGGGTTAAAACTTAACTCGGATCATACACTACAAATGGAGGAGTACGTCATATCATTGTTGGTGGGGAAGATCGAACAAATTTTGGTTAGCGTTTTACACGATATTCCTAAAATATAATATGAAATTTGACAACAATCGGTGCGGTGGTTTTGGAGATAATATATAACAAAAATGGACATCTGTTTCTCTGTTCCGTAATAGTTATTTCCGTATTAAGGGCTGTTAAGAAGGCTATAACGACTAATAAGAGAACGGGATATGATATAACGAATGTTCCCGCAGTCGCGTACAACGGTTTTCGTCGTACTAAACTACATACACTAAAATTTACATTTTAAATTGTGGAAATGTTTAGTATTTAAAAGCAAAAAATTGCAAAATCGTAGACGCCTTTCTTAACTTAGCAACAGAATTATTGTTGATAACACAAAAATTCCAAACTTCAAAAGCGGAAAATGGAGAAAAAACGCTGAATTAAGTTCTATCAAAAATTCTTGCTAGAGGGCGGAACGCAAACAGGGAACTGATTCCCGAGAAATCTAAGTGCAGGTACGAAAGAGAATTAGATTTGTTCCCTCAATGGGAAAATAAACCATTTAAAAAGTGTGTGTGAAATTGTAATCATGGCGCATATTGATAAATTGGTAGGCTCTTATTAGGTACTATTTGATGACCGCTTATTATATTAGAGATTTATGCTCCAGGTGAAGACCATTTAATGGAAAAAGTTGTTTTAACATATTTTGGAATATTTGGTGCTTGCCGAAGAGAAGAAATTATTTAAATGAAAACATGTTTCTGGAGTTGAATCAATAAGTTAATTGTTAATTGGTTGCGGCAATGTGAGCTTTCACAATTTCACTATTAATAATCTTCATGTTACATAGGTGTTATTGTTTTGTGCCTGTAATTTTTTTTTAAATAAAAGTTAACAAAGTGGACCGTTAAAACAGGCGGGCTGTTAAAATCTTGTCATTGACAGCTTAACGGTTTTCAGTTGCTGAACGAACAGACGCACAGACGACAGATCGACAGATAGGCATAAACTGAAGACGTATTTTTTCATATTCTGGAAGTTTCGGAACGTCGAGTAATCATAATAGTAGCTATTCCTAAAATGGAATTTATGTAAAAAATAAAGATTGCATCATTTTATGGTAACGCAATATTTTTTGAGATTTTTACGCCTTGAACGCCTTGAAAATACTAAATTATCAGATCTGTTGGCTCCGCCTTCAGATTACCTTATTTAAGGGTCACCGTTAAAAAAAAATCGCTAGAAAGTAATGAACTACTACGGAGTAACCAATTCAGAGTAATTATTTGGACGTAACACTTAAATTCTAACTTATTTTATGAAAGTATGCTGTATCTGTGAGTGTTGAAAAAAGTGAAAGTTCTGACAGGTAAGTTCAAAAATTACAGTTAGACTGTTCACTCTATGTATATTTTTTTTATGTAAGCAGTTATTATAAATTTAATTTAGCGTGACTGCTAATTGGCGACTCAGAAATTTTAACAGTTTTTATAAAGTTTAGTGTTTTCAATGGTAGGTAGGTACTGAGAACAAATTATTCTTCCGTTTATTAAAATTTGTGGTATCTATGATAACATAACTAGAGGTTCATTGCCTTCTAGTATTTCTACAAAAATACAAACACCAGACAATATAAAAAAGATATTTAGAAATAAAAGAAATGAAAATCTGTATATTGCAATTTTGACCTCCTTAGGTCTCATTAGTAGAGCAAATTGCAATGGTTCTCTAGTAGTGATAGCAGGTGTAATCCAACGTCCGGCGGGGTTCTTGTCCGAGAACTAGGTGTTTCCACCCATTGGTTGATCCATTTAACAAGTGCACATTGTTTGTAACAAAAATGATAATGGAACCCAATGAGTCACCACCGACACATTTCTCTTATATCTCACTAATAATATCTAGAAATTTCTTTCCACACGCGTGAGGCGGGAGAAACATAATTAACACTGTAAAATAACATAAAAAATATAATATCTGGAAGGACGAATGATTAACAAACTTATTAACACCGAGAATTTGCTTACTGAATAATACTTATTTCAGCAAACATATCTAAGGCCATGGACATGGACATTGACATGATGAACTCCAGTTCTGACGAAGAAATCCAAAGAGCGAAACAAGAATTTAAACATAAAATCGAACAAATAAAACGGAAAAAGATTGGAAAAAAAAACAAAGGTCTCCTAAAGGCTCGTCAACCTGAAGACAGTCCCTGTTCTTCAAAAACGGTATTATAAATTATTCACCTCATTCTCTCGAAAAATTTTATAATGCAGTAACGTTGCATCCGCCTAAATTTAATAATTATAAAATAATAATTATCAGAATAACCGCTACTTGTCCAAAATAATATTCAAAACGTTTTGCTCCGTTCTAGCGTAATTAATAATTACTCCTCCTCTTTGTTTTAAGGATATAAAATCGATCAAATTTCGTTTTATTTTATCACAAATTCTTTGCATCAATAAACGACTTATTTCTTATTTCACTTTTATAAATCTTATTTAAATCCTATTGAATACCACTGTAGTCAAAATCTTGCAAAATTTAATTTTAAATGTATTTGCTTATAGATAATTAAAAACATTTTTTAGCAGACGCATTTCTCAATAGAAGATACTCCAGCCAACCAACACATTAAAGATCCGACTGAAGAAAGTGTGCATCCAAGGAAGAGAAGAAAACTAGATGTAGAAACAGCAAATAAGTCCGTTCTAGAAAAGGTGAGTTCATTACTGATGAAATTCATTTGTTATTTACTTTGAAGTTCGTATTATTATCAACATCACAGAAAACTGTATTTTTTTTACACAAGCTTACTTATTTCAAGATGTATTGCTCTCTAAATGTTGATTTAGTACTTAAATTATTTAATCAGAAATCACTGAGACTGCTGATAAGCCTGCATTTTTTGTTGAAAGTGGTATCATGATTCTTTCAATTATTTCCAATTGTTAGCTGTCAAGATTGACAGATTGTGGACATTTTTAATTTGCAAAATGTATCCAAAATAAAGAAGTATTGTAATCGAATTAGAGATGTACCGACTATAGTCGGCCGACTGTTCCGCTTTGCCAAAACCGGTTTGTAAATGCAACAGACAGTGTGTTTTTTTTTCTATTTCTCTTACTACCTTAAAAACTTGTTTTATTTTAATAAAAGGAATAACTAAAGTTTTTTTGTCTTCCAAAAAATGTGTTAAATTTGTTTGGATAATTTTAACATTTAATTTTTTGTAGTAACTCAGTACAAAAATAAAGAATAACACAATTTAGGGCAGTTTATACAATACTTTAACCAATTTTAACCACTTTTTTGGAAAATTTTTGGAAATTTTGAATTCGCTTTGAGTGTTTATTGGACCAGATTCGTAACTAGCGGAAGATTATCTACACTTTGACACCAATTTTCCGTCGATTAAACCAATTTTAACCGGTTTTAGCAAAGCCGAACAGTCGGCCGACTATAGTCGGTACATCTCTAAATCGAATCCATCGGACAACTGGGGTACTTTTATTTTTTCTCCACGTTACATGACTTCTAGATTATCAAACAGTGGCTCTCCCAATTCCGTATGTCTGTCTGACTGTCTGTCCGCCGTCTGTATCGATTTTTGTTAAACAGATAATCTCCGAAGCTACCGGACCGATTATTGTCAAAATGTGTACGCATATTAGAAATATCATGTAGATAGCAAAATTCTAACCAAAACTTCTCTGAGTATCCCCACCAACAATAAAATTAGTTCATCTGTAAATTTTGCACTATTAAATGTTAATTAAAGTTTATAAAATAACGTATTCCTCTACTTGTAATTTATGAATTCGTGTTGGGTGTTAACCCTAATATCTAGATTTTTGAAAAAAAAAAATTGTATGACAACACTTTAGAATTTAACTTTGAAATTAGAAATCAAAGGTTCTAATCAAAATTTATCCATTCTGGGGCAGGATTGATAACGTCATTTTAGAATTTTGTGGAATAAATGTAATTTAAATGTTAAAATCTAATATCGTCCTGAATTTGTCGTTTAATATGAATCCGTGTCAAATTTTATCGTAGACATTGAAATTTTTAGATTAAAAATTAAGTGTTAGACAATTTTTTGGCTTTTCGATTTTTCGGTTTCGCGACTTTTGATTTCTCAATGTTTCGATATTTCAGTTTTGGCATTTTTACTTCCCGAGCGTAAGCAAAGGAAGTATTGTAATTGAGTCCGTCGGCCGACTCTCTACTTTTACGTTTTCTTGATCTTTCATGATCCCTAGAGTACGAAGAAATAGGTCTCCCATTTCTGTGTGTCTGTCCGTCTGTCTGTCTGTCCGTCCGTCTGTCCGTCTGTCCGTCTGTCTGCCGTCCCGGATTTTTATTAGACAGATAATGTCCGAAAGAACTGGACCGATTGTTGTGAAATTTTGTACTTATATTAGGAATATCATGTAGATGGTAAAACGCTAACCAAAATCTGTCTAATCATCCCCACCACTAATGCGATGACGTCACTTCAAAATTGTACATAGTAAATGGGTCTTAAATTGTATAAAATAATATAGTCCTACACATGTAGTTTACGACTCCGAATTCAGCTTTTACCCGAAACGTCCAGATTTTTGGAAAAAAAATCAAAATTATGAAACAACATTTTGAAATTTAATTTTGAATCTGCTAACCCGAATGTTTTGAAATGTTGCAGATGTTTTAAGGCTCTAAAGAGCATCATAAATCTTTAGTCAAAATATATTTGGTTATCCCCTCCAAAAACTTGATGACGTCAGCTCAAAAGTTTGCCGAATAAATCTTATCTAAAATGTATAAAATATGATGCGTCTGTACTTGTGATATATCACTCCATTCATATTTTTTGGATTTGCATACACAGGGTGACTCAAAAAAATTAATGAATGCGCAAAATTTATTTTACTGATTTACTCAGGAACTACAAAACCGAATGCATTGAAATCTTGAAGATGTTTTAAAATTATCATAGGCATGGTAAATTTTTATCAAAATGTATTTCCTCTTCCCCCCTAAAAAATTGATGACGCCACTCCAAAATTTTCCTGAATAAATCCTCTCTAAAATGTACAAAATACGATGAGTCTGTACTTGTGATTTATCATTCTATTCATATTTTTTCGATTTGCATATACAGGGTGACTGAAAAAAATTAACGAACGCGTCAATTTATTTTATTGATTTAATCAGGATTTACAGAACCGAATACTTTGAAATCTTGGAGATGTTTTAAAGTTATTATAAGCATGGTAAATTTTTTATCAAAATGTATTTGCTCATCCCCTCTAAAAACTTGATGACGTCACCCCAAAATTTTGCTGAATAAATCCTATCTAAAATGTACAAAATATGATGAGTCTGTACTTGTGATTTATCATTCCATTCATATTTTTGGATTTGCATATACAGATGACTCAAAAAAATTAATGAATGCGTGAATTTATTTTATCGATTTAATCAGGAATTACAAAACCGAATGCTTTGAAATCTTGGAGATATTTTAAAGTTATTATAAGCATGGTAAACTTTTGTTCAAAATGTATTTGTTCATCCCCCCTAAAAAAAATGATAACGTCACCCTTAAATTTTGCTGAATATATCCTATCTAAAATGCAAAAAATATGATGAGTTTGTACTTGTGATTTATCTATCATTCCATTCATATTTTTTAGATTTTCTTAAGAGGTGGCTCAAAAAAATTAATGAAGTCAATTTATTTTATTGATTAAATTAAAGGCAACACCTATTATTAGTATTACATTGGACCAACCCAATTTGGTATACACAAAATTTTTTAAAGTAAAAACTCGGTTGAAACATAAGGGTAGCACGCTTATTTACATCGACTTTAACATTACAGACGTGCATTTGTTTTGTGCGCTGTCTAGGTTCCGCGAATGTGGAATAGACATGTTTATAATTAACCAATTGTGAATTCCACCGTCAAAAATTAAAATAAAACCCAATGTTTTATATAATAAGCGGAAGCCGAAACAATAAAACCGATGGTCGTTTTGTTTACAGTTTCTCTGTTTGACTCTCACGTATGCTGTTACGCTTGTCATCTTAAATTAGGAATGCTTATACATACATAAACGATTTTCAGTTGCCTCTCACCGGCGCCGTATACGTGAGTAAATTGTTTCGTTATTTTATTGATTATAACAAATCAATATTCAAAACGACCCAATTCATTTTCCCGAAAATTTGGAAATACAATAATTTTATTCTTAGTATTACACTACATCTATCCCAACTGATATACGTGTCCTTGCAAAAATGTTGATGACGTCATCGCAATTTTTTTTAAATTCCACACTACAAAAATGTAATGAGAAAAAAAACACAATAGCCGTGCAGTCGTCAAGTTTCCGACAGCGAGGGAAGTACTGTCTAAATTCTTTAGACCAATTTTTTATTTTTTGATTCAATTTCTTGATTTTTCAATTCATCAACTTTTCAATTTCTCACTTTCTCGAGCATTCAGTTTCTCGATTTTCAAGTTTTCTATTACAAAATTTTTCTGAATTTCAGTTTTACGATTTTTCAATTTTTCGCTTCCCCGATTTTTCAGTTTTTCAATTCTTCAATTTTTCGACTTTCAGGTTTTTGATTTTTTAGTTTTTGGATTTTTTTTTATTTATTCTGTTTTTCATTTTTTCGGTTTTTAAATATTCCGATTTTAAAAATGTTTGTTTGTTAATGTTTCGATTTTTCAGAATTTGTAATTTTTCAGTTTCTCAATTTTTTCATGTTTTGGATGTGTCGAGTTTTCAATTTTTCAATTTTCGATGTTTCGATTTCTTGGATTTTCGATCGTTCGACATTTCAATTTTTCAAGTTTTCGAGGTTTGAATTTTTCAATTTTTCGATTTCACTTTTTGGGATTTTCAGTTTCACGATTTTTCAATTTTTTAAACTTTTTTTTTGATTTTCCGCATTTTTAAAAGTTTTCGCCTTTTAGATATTTCGATTTTTCGATTCCCCAATTTTTGAACATTTCAATTTGGGAAATTTCTGGGATTTTAAATTTCCCGATATTTTAATTTTTCGATTTTTTATGATTCGATTGATCGATTTGACTTTTCGGATTTCGATTTTGCGTTGCTCAGTTTTTCGATTTTTTAAATTTTAGATTTTTTGATTTTTCCCTTTTTTAATTTTTCGTTTTGTAATTTTTTTTTTATTTCTCTATTTATCAACATTCTGGTATTTCAATTTTTCGATAAAATGGTATAAACACTACTACTGCTACAATAAATCTCATGGTAACACCTATACTGTACACTATTTTTCGTATTTCACCCTTCTAAATTTAAATAAATAAAAATTCTTAAAACATCAGCTAGTTACATGTCAAGTTTTCTATCAATTGTCAACACTGTCTATACGCTACTCATATAATTTTTCTCTGTCAGCTTTGGTAATCCAAACACTTTGTGAAATTGTGGAAAAATGTTACAGTACAAACAATATTGTTGTCGTAAAAACAACAAGGGAATTAATTGTTTAATACAGTTTTAAATTGTATATATATATATTATATATACACGTGGTTATCAATTTTCTTAATGTTTTTACTTGCTGTTCTTATTTAACTCTATTTTTTAAGCTTTAGAGTTTTCCTCGATTTATTCACGTTGTTGTTTTAAATTTCAGACTTTTCTGAAAAGACCGGGAACGACTGACAAAGGAAAATTATACGAAGATATGATTACCGCTAACGTCATACTACAAATGGTAAGCGACAGTAAGATAGAAAATTTTTTTATTTCATCGAACGATGAAACGTTTGGTGATTTTGACGATTTGGTTATCGAAACTCAGACAAGTAAGGGAACTAAAACAAAAGCCGTGCAATTAAAACACAGTAATAAAAAAAAATATATTCATATAAAGGAACTAGTAAAAGAAAAAGGAAACTTTAGCATAACCAAATATTTCAACTCGTTCCAAAAGATAAAGGACAAAGCCCAACAATTTATATTATTCACCAACAATAAATTAGAAATTTTGGACAAAACAAAAATTCAAATTCCAGGGCAAGAATTTTACCTAAAACCGATTAAAGTTTTATTTTCGGAAAACAATAAAGAAGGTTTAAGAGTTTCTGAGATTATAAATTACTATTACAAATTTCAAATTATGTACGATGCATCGATTGAACAAAATTTGGAAAAAAATCAAGAATACCAAAATTTTTTCAAATGTTTCCGTTTTTATGATAACCAAGAAGGTTTAGAAACACTTCGAAAATCAACGGAGGATAAATTCATTAAGATGTTTGGTTCCAACGAAGAAACTTTCAAGAAATATGTTGACGCCGTAACGGACTGGAATATGAAAGAAGAACTAAAGGAAAAACTAAGCAAAAAGACAATGCAACGTTCAATTGCACTTCGTTTGCTTTCTTCTCAGATCATACCTCTTAGTTTTGGTTCGGTCAACGAACAAATGAAGATTCTTCGAGACGCGATTTCTCTCTTCGACGTTACCGTGTTAGAAGAAACAGACAAAAGCGAGGTGGTTACAAAACTGTGGGGTGACTTGAACAAAAATGTTGACCTCAAAGAAGTGAATAAAGTGCGATCTCGTTATTTTGCTTCTTCTGAAGAGGTAACTACAGTTGAAGATGTAAATGACAATATGTTGACACAATTATTATGGTTGATGGATAAATGTCCGCTCATTGTGAAAGAACACGTCAACATGGAAAAAGCTATTAACCTCTGTCCAGATGCAAAATTTGTTATACTTGGTGAAGGAAAATGTGGAGAATGGATGAAAGATATTTCCGTGTTTCAAAATTTGTCCAGTTTGAAATCAAAAGGCGAATTGTATGATAAAGTGCTGCAAAAATTCACCATCTCTATACAAGGGAAAGAACCACTTAATTTAGTGACTGCTTTCCAAGAAAATGATGAAATTTTAAAAAATGTAACTGTGAACAAACTTTTGGAAATTTCAGAGGGTTCATGCTATGTAGGTGGAGAAAAAGAGACTTTTCCGAATCTTTATATCGACAGATATTTGTCGGTCAATATCATAGATGTTAAATATTTACAACGTGCAGATCAAAATACTGTTATCATTCTGAATTGCGAAGGAAATTCTGAGCAACTAAAAATAACTCAAGAGCATACACTAATAGATATAAACGATTTTTTCACTTCCAAGGATTCCAAAATTTTTGAGACTGCACTTTTTATACAGACTAAAATTAAATGCAGCGATTCTGATTTTCAAGAAATTTGTTCTAAAACACCTACATCTAAACGTATACATTATTTTAAATTTCTTAATAATAAAAATTTAGAATGGGTCCGTAGCAGAGGGGATATTAGTGAACTGCGGGATTATAAGTTACACAACCATTCTGAAACCGAAAATCATTCTGAAACCGAGAACCAAGTTTCGTCTTTCATATCCGATAACGATTTTTTAAATAGCGATTCTAAAAGTGGGGAAGAATTTACGTTTACCCATTCACATAATAACATAAATCTAACAACAGGTGACGTAAGTAAACTGCAAAACAATCATTTAAGTAATTTTTCTAAAAATGAGAAAGAATTTTGGTCTTTCGGGTTCAGTAATAACATAAATCTAATAATAGGCGATCCGGGAATGGGCAAAACTGAATTAACAAAAAGTTTAAAAAACAATTGTTCTTCTCAATATTGGACGGTGATAATGAATCCCCAAGATATTAATTTACTTTTTAAAACTTTAAAAAATTGTGAAACGTCGGATTACTTAAATCGGCTCGAATCATTCATCTTCAACCAGAAATATCCACGTCTCGAACGGTTCGATCGAGAGTTTCTTAAAATGTGCTTGAAGCGAAACATTGTGGTTTACGTATGGGATGCTCTTGATGAAATTTTAAGTGAAAATTTGGACGCTATTTCAACGTTAATTCTTCTGTTATCGGGAGAAGGTTTCACTCAATGGGTTACCGCAAGGCAACACTTGAAGTCATTTCTTGAAAACAAATTTAATGTGCTCTCAGTGAGTATTAATCAATTCAGCCAGAGAGAGCAAGAAGATTACATTAGCAGACGACTTGCCAATGTTTCTACGTCTGTCGACATGAAGGAAACGATCGACAAAATTAAATCCACGTTTGCATTCACAAAACACATAGATATTTTAGGAATTCCACTTCAGATCTTTATGCTTACAGAAGTATTTCTCCAAAATAAAGAAAAATACGAAGAATTATTCAACAACAAGTTTCTTTTGACTGATTTATACAGTTACTTCATTGACGGAAAACTTAAGTTCTTCTTCGACGACAAAGTGCCTGCAAACAATGCTTATTGGGAAGAAGAAGCCAGGAAGAAAAAGGAAGAAAAACTAAAACACTATGAAAAGTTGGCGCTTGGAGTAATATTTTCTGAAGAAATTTTGAGGGAATTAAAAATCGACTGTTTACAAGATGTAAATTTAGTTTCTGAAGATTTCGCTACCGTTGGTATCATAACTGCATCACATAATGGGATTCCACAGTTTGTACATGCTTCCTTTGCCGAATACTTTGTTGCCTTATATTTTTCTAAACATTTTGAAATGATACCCTCGGATACATTTTTTGATGAGAAATATAACAATGTACGATTTTTCTTTGACATGATAATCGGTAAAAATTCACCGGCGCACATCGCGATCTTGTACAGGAATTTTAATGAATTGAGGAGTTATAATGGCGAAATAATAAAACGTAAAGATCAAGGTGGAAGAAGTGCTTTGCACCTCATTTGTTCTTGGGGACGAAGATATCCACGTTCAAATGTGAAAGAACAAGACGATTTTTATATAATCGATGACAACTTCGCTAGTGTTCCAGAAGAAACAAAAGAATATTATAACGCATTGTTATTTTTGTTAGACGAATGTGAAATTTCAAAAGAAGATGAGCTTCAATACACGCCCCTAGCATATGCACGGAAAAGCCAAAGTTTGATAGCGGAACTGGAATTATTACAGTCAAATGAATTACAATTTCAACAGTCGTATAATGAAAGTGATGTAATTAATATTTTATTTCGTTCTGCTCAACTTGGATACGGCGACGCGATTCAAAAGGTTATGCCGACAGATGCTTGCGTTTGCAAAAAATTAGCAAATTCTCGTAATGCATACTTGCAAACTCCCCTGTTTATAGCGTCCGAAGTGAGACACGTAAAAGTTGGAAACGATCGTAACGGTCGCAATCGTGAAACATCGCTTAATGCAAATATCAGTTACGACCGGCAAAAAGTTATCCAAATTTTAGTTAAATATGGAGCCGAAATCAATCGCGCTGATTATAGTGGTTGGACACCGCTTAACGCAGCTTCCTTTCAAGGTCACGAACAAATTGTCGAATGCCTGATGAAATGCGGAGCCGAAATCAATCGCGCTGATGAATATAGTCGGACACCGCTTTTAGCAGCTTCCAATCAAGGTCACGAAAAAATTGTCGAATGCCTGGTGAAATGCGGAGCCGAAGTCAATCGCTTTGATAAATTTCATTATTCGACACCGCTTTACGCAGCTTCCTATCAAGGTCACGAAAAAATTGTCGAATGTCTGGTGAAACGCGGAGCCGAAATAAATCGCCCTGATATATATGGTAAGACATCGCTTTCCGCTGCTTCCTCTCGTGGTCACGAAAAAATTGTCGAATGCCTGGTGAAATGCGGAGCCGATATAAATCGCGCTGATGATGATGGGAAGACACCGCTTTACGAAGCTTCCTCTCATGGTTACGAAAAAATTGTCAAATGCCTGGTGAAACGCGGAGCCGAAATCAATCGCGCTAATAAATATGGTGGTCAGACACCGCTTTATGCAGTTTCCTCTCAAGGTCACGAAAAAATTGTCGAATGCTTGGTGAAATGCGGCGCCGAAATCAATCGCGCTGATTATTATGGTCAGACACCGCTTTACGCAGCTTCCTCTCGAGGTCACGAAAAAATTGTCGAATGCCTGGTCAAATGTGGAGCCGAAGTAAATCGCGTTAATGATGATGGGAAAACACCGCTTTACGCAGCTTCCTCTCAAGGTCACGAAAACATTGTCGAATGCCTGGTCAAATGTGGAGCCGAAATCAATCGCGCTAATAAATATGGTGGTCAGACACCGCTTTACGCAGCTTCCTCTCAAGGTCACGAAAACATTGTCGAATGCCTGGTCAAATGCGGAGCCGAAATCAATCGCGCTGATAAAAATCATGGTCGGACACCGCTTTACACAGCTTCCTCCCATGGTCACGAAAAAATTGTCGAATGCCTGGTGAAATGCGGAGCCGAAATAAATCGCGCTGATAATTATGGTCAGACACCGCTTTCCACAGCTTCCTCTCATGGTCACGAAAAAATTGTCGAATGCCTGGTCAAATGTGGAGCCGAAGTAAATCGCGTTGATGATGATGGGAAAACACCGCTTTACGCAGCTTCCTCTCAAGGTCACGAAAACATTGTCGAATGCCTGGTCAAATGTGGAGCCGAAATCAATCGCGCTAATAAATATGGTGGTCAGACACCGCTTTACGCAGCTTCCTCTCAAGGTCACGAAAACATTGTCGAATGCCTGGTCAAATGTGGAGCCGAAGTAAATCGCGTTGATGATGATGGGAAAACACCGCTTTACGCAGCTTCCTCTCAAGGTCACGAAAACATTGTCGAATGCCTGGTGAAATCCGGAGCCGAAATAAATCGCGCTGATAAATATGGTCAGACACCGCTTTACGCAGCTTCCTCTCATGATCACGAAAACATTGTCGAATGCCTGGTGAAATGCGAAGCCGAAATAAATCGCGTTGATGACGATGGTAGGACACCGCTTTACGCAGCTTCCTCTCAAGGTCACGCAAACATTGTCGAATGCCTGGTGAAATACGGAGCCGAAATCAATCGCGCTAGTACAAATGGTCAGACACCGCTTTACGCAGCTTCCTCTCAAGGTCACGAAAAAATTGTCGAATTCCTGGTGAAATGTGGAGCCGAAATAAATCGCGCTGATGAAGACGAGAAGACACCGCTTTACGCAGCCAGTTCTCAAGGACACAAAACAATTGTCAAGTGCCTGGTGAAATGCGGAGCAAAAATTAAACCAGCAAATAAATGTGAGAACACATTACTGTACGCAGCTTCCTCGCTAGGTCATGAAAAAATTGTCGAATGCCTGGTGAAATGCGGAGCCGAAATAAATCGCATTGATGAAGATGGGAAGACACCGCTTTACGCAGCTTCCTCTCATGGTCACTTAAAAATTGTCGAATGCCTGGTGAAATGCGGAGCCGAAATAAATCGCGCTGATAATTATGGTCAGACACCGCTTTACACAGCTACTTCTCAAGGACACGAAAAAATTGTCAAGTGCCTGGTGAAATGCGGAGCAAAAATTAATCCAGCTAATAAATATGAGAACACATTGCTGTACGCAGCTTCCTCACAAGGTCACGAAAACATTTTCGAATGCCTGGTGAATTGCGGAGCCGAAATAAATCACGCTGATGAATATGGTCGGGCACCCCTCCACGAAGCTTGCTCTCAAGGTGACGAAAAAATTGTCGAATGCTTGGTGAACTGCGGAGCCGAAATAAATCGCACTGATAAATATAGTCATACACCGCTGTACGTCGCTTCCTCTCAAGGTTACGAAAAAATTGTCGAATGCCTGGTGACACGCGAAGCCGAAATAAATCGCGCTGATGAAGATGGTCAGACACCGCTTTACGCAGCTTCCTTTCAAGGTCACGAAAAAATTGTCGAATGCTTGGTGAAATGCGGCGCCGAAATCAATCGCGCCGATAAATATGGTCAGACACCGCTTTACGCAGCTTCCTCTCAAGGTCACGAAAGAATTGTCGAATGCTTGGTGAAATGCGAAGCCGAAATCAATCGCGCCGATAAATATGGTCAGACACCGCTTTACGCAGCTTCCTCTCAAGGTCACGAAAGAATTGTCGAATGCTTGGTGAAATGCGAAGCCGAAATCAATCGCGCCGATAAATATGGTCAGACACCGCTTTACGCAGCTTCCTCTCAAGGTCACGAAAGAATTGTCGAATGCTTGGTGAAATGCGAAGCCGAATTCAATCTAGCTGATAAAAATGGTCGGACACCGCTTTACGAAGCTTCCTCTCAAGGTCACGAAAAAATTGTCGAATGCTTGGTGAAATGCGGGGCCGAAATAAATCGCGCTGATGAAGATGGTCAGACACCGCTTTACGCAGCTTCCTTTCAAGGTCACGAAAAAATTGTCGAATGCCTGGTGAAATGGGGGGCCGAAATAAATCGCGCCGATAAATATGGTCAGACACCGCTTTACGCAGCTTCCTCTCAAGGTCACGAAAGAATTGTCGAATGCTTGGTGAAATGCGGAGCCGAATTCAATCTAGCTGATAAAAATGGTCGGACACCGCTTTACGCAGCTTCCTCTCGAGGTCACCAAAAAATTGTCGAATGCCTGGCGAAAGGCGGAGCAAAAATTAATCCCGCTAATTATTATGATAACACATTGCTTCACGCAGCTTCCTCTCAAGGTCACGAAAAAATTGTCGAATGCCTGGTGAAATGCGGAGCAAAAATCAATGGGGCTGGTTTAGATGGTCGCACACCGCTTTACGAAGCTTCCTCTCAAGGTCACGAAAACATTGTCGAATGCCTGGTGAAATGCGGAGCCGAAATCAATCGCGCTGAGTATTATGGTCGGACACCGCTTTACGCAGCTTCCTGTCGAGGTCACGAAAAAATTGTCGAATGCCTGGTGAAATGCGAAGCCGAAATCAATAGCGCTGATAAAAATTGTGTAACACCAATTCACGCAGCTTCCTCGCAAGGTCACGAAAAAGTTGTCGAATGCCTGGTAAAATGCGGAGCTGCAATAAATCGCGCCGATAACCATGGTAAGACACCGCTTTACGCAGCTTCCTCTCATGGTCACGAAAAAATTGTCGAATGCCTGGTGAAATGCGAAGCCGAAATCAATCGCACTGACGATATTTATGGTCAGACACCGCTTTACGAAGCTTCCTCTCAAGGTTACGAAAAAATTGTCGAATGCCTGGTGAAATGCGGAGCAGAAATCAATTGGGCTGGTAAAGATGGTCGGACACCGCTTTACGAAGCTTCCTCTCAAGGTCACGAAAACATTTTCGAATGCCTGGTGAAATGCGGAGCCGAAATCAATCGCGCTGATAAAAATCATGGTCGGACACCGCTTTACGCAGCTTCCTCTCATGGTCACGAAAAAATTGTCGAATGCCTGGTGAAATCCGGAGCCGAAATAAATCGCGCTGATAAATATGGTCAGACACCGCTTTACGCAGCTTCCTCTCATGATCACGAAAACATTGTCGAATGCCTGGTGAAATGCGGAGCCGAAATCAATCGCGCTAATGACATTGGTGTGACATCGCTTTACGCAGCGTCCTTTCAAGGTCACGAAAAAATTGTCGAATGCCTGGCGAAATGCGGAGCCGAAATAAATCGCGCTGATGAAAATGTGGAGACACCGCTTTACGCAGCTGTTTCTCAAGGACACGAATCAATAGTCAAGTGCCTGCTGAAATGCGGAGCAAAAATTAATCCAGCTAATAAATATGAGAACACATTGCTGTACGTAGCTTCCTCTCATGGTTACGACAAAATTGTCGAATGCCTGGTAAAATGCGGAGCCGACATAAATCGCTCTGATAAATATGGTCGGACACCGCTTTACGCAGCTTCCTCTCGAGGGCACGAAAAAATTGTCGAATGCCTGGTGAAATGCGGAGCCGAAATAAATCACGCCAACGAAGATGGTCAGACACCGCTTTACGCAGCTACTTCTCAAGGACACGAACAAATTATCAAGTGCCTGGTGAAATGCGGAGCAAAAATTAATCCAGCTAATAAATATGAGAACACATTGCTCTACGCAGCTTCCTCACAAGGTCACGAAAACATTTTCGAATGCCTGGTGAATTGCGGAGCCGAAATCAATCGTGCTGACGAATATGGTCGGATACCGCTCTACGAAGCTTCCTCTCAAGGTGACGAAAAAATTGTCGAATGCTTGGTGAAACGCGGAGTTGAAATAAATCGCACTGATACATTTGGTCAGACACCGCTTTACGTCGCTTCCTCTCAAGGTCACGAAAAAATTGTCGAATGTTTGGTGAAATGCGGAGCCGAAATAAATCGCGCTGATAAATATGGTCAGACACCGCTTTACGCAGCTTCCTCTCAAGGTCACGAAAAAATTGTAGAATGCCTGGTGAAATGCGGAGCCGAAATCAATCGCGCTGATAAAATTGGTTGGACACCGCTTTACGCAGCTTCCTCTAAAGGTCACGAAAAAATTGTCGAATGCCTGGTGAAATGCGGAGCCGAAATCAATCGCGCTGATAAAATTGGTTGGACACCGCTTTACGCAGCTTCCTCTAAAGGTCACGAAAAAATTGTCGAATGCCTGGTGAAATGCGGAGCCGAAATCAATCGCGCTGATAAAATTGGTTGGACACCGCTTTACGCAGCTTCCTCTCGAGGTCACGAAAAAATTGTCGAATGCCTGGTGAAGTGCGGAGCCGAAATAAATCGCGCTGATAAATATGTTCAGACACCGCTTTACGCAGCTTCTTCTCATGGTTACGAAAAAATTGTCGAATACCTGGTGAAATGCGGAGCCGAAATCAACCGCGCTGATGATGATGGGCCGACACCGCTTTACGCAGCTTCCTCTCAAGGTCACGAAAAAATTGTCAAATGCCTGGTGAAATGCGGAGCCGAAATCAATCGCGCTGATAAATATCGTGGTCGGACACCGCTTTACGAAGCTTCCTCTCAAGGTCACGAAAAAATTGTCGAATGCCTGGTGAAATGCGGAGCCGAAGTAAATCGCGATGATGCTGATGGGAAGACACCGCTTCACGCAGCTTCCTCTCAAGGTCACGAAAAAATTGTCGAATACCTGGTGAAATGCGGAGCCGAAATGAATTGTGCTGATGGAAATGGTGAGACACCACTTTACGCAGCTTCCTCTCAAGATCACGAAGAAATTGTCGAATGCCTAGTGAAATGCGGAGTCGAAATCAATCGCGCTGATTATTGTTGTTGGACACCGCTTTACGAAGCTTCCTTCCAAGGTCATGAAAAAATTGTCGAATGCCTGGTGAAATGCGGAGCCGAAATCAATCGCTTTAATAATGACGGGAAGACACCGCTTTACGCAGCTTCCTCTCAAGGTCACGAAAAAATTGTCGAATGCCTGGTGAAATGCGGAGTCGAAATCAATTGGGCTGATTATTGTGGTTGGACACCGCTTTACGCAGCTTCCTCTCAAGGTCACGAAAAAATTGTCGAATGCCTGGTGACATGCGGAGCCGAAATCAATCGCGCTGATAAAGATGGTCAGACACCGCTTTATGCAGCTTGCTCTGGAGGTCACGAAAAAACTGTCGAATGCCTGGTGAAATGCGGAGCCGAGATCAATTGGGCTGATTATCGTGGTTGGACACCGCTTTACGCAGCTTCCTCTCAAGGTCACGAAAAAATTGTCGAATGCCTGGTGAAATGCGGAGCCGAAATCAATCGCGCTAACAAATTTGGTCAAACACCGCTCTACGCAGCTTCCTCTCATGGTCACGAAAAAATTGTCGAATGCCTGGTGAAATGCGGAGCCGAAGTAAATCGCGATGATGATGATGGGAAGACACCGCTTCACGCAGTTTCCTCTCAAGGTCACGAAAAAATTGTCGAATACCTGGTGAAATGCGGAGCCGAAATGAATTGTGCTGATGTAAATGGTCAGACACCGCTTTACGCAGCTTCCTCTCAAGGTCACGAAAAAATTGTCGAATGCCTGGTGAAATGCGGAGCCGAAGTAAATCGCGATGATGATGATGGGAAGACACCGCTTTACGCAGCTACTTCTCAAGGACACGAACAAATTATCAAGTGCCTGGTGAAATGCGGAGCAAAAATTAATCCAGTTAATAAATATGAGAACACATTGCTGTACGCAGCTTCCTCACAAGGTCACGAAAACATTTTCGAATGCCTGGTGAATTGCGGAGCCGAAATCAGTCGTGCTGATGAATATGGTCGGATACCGCTCTACGAAGCTTCCTCTCAAGGTGACGAAAAAATTGTCGAATGCTTGGTGAAACGCGGAGTTGAAATAAATCGCACTGATACATATGGTCAGACACCGCTTTACGCAGCTTCCTCTCATGGTTACGAAAAAATTGTCGAATGTCTGGTGAAATGCGGAGCCGAAATCAATCGCGCTGATAAAATTGGTTGGACACCGCTTTACGCAGCTTCCTCTCAAGGTCACGAAAAAATTGTCGAATGCCTGGTGAAATGCGGAGCCGAAATCAATCGCGCTGATAAATATCGTGGTCGGACACCGCTTTACGCAGCTTCTTCTCAAGGTCACGAAAAAATTGTCGAATGCCTGGTGAAATGCGGAGCCGAAATCAATCGCGCTGATGATGATGGGAAGACACCGCTTTACGCAGCTTCTTCTCATGGTTACGAAAAAATTGTCGAATGCCTGGTGAAATGCGGAGCCGAAATCAATCGCGCTGATAAAATTGGTTGGACACCGCTTTACGCAGCTTCCTCTCAAGGTCACGAAAAAATTGTCGAATGCCTGGTGAAATGCGGAGCCGAAATCAATCGCGCTGATAAATATCGTGGTCGGACACCGCTTTACGAAGCTTCCTCTCATGGTCACGAAAAAATTGTCGAATGCCTGGTGAAATGCGGAGCCGAAATCAACCGCGCTGATGATGACGGGAAGACACCGCTTTACGCAGCTTCTTCTCAAGGTCACGAAAAAATTGTCGAATGCCTGGTGAAATGCGGAGCCGAAATCAATCGCGCTGATGATGATGGGAAGACACCGCTTTACGCAGCTTCTTCTCATGGTTACGAAAAAATTGTCGAATGCCTGGTGAAATGCGGAGCCGAAATCAATCGCGCTGATAAAATTGGTTGGACACCGCTTTACGCAGCTTCCTCTCAAGGTCACGAAAAAATTGTCGAATGCCTGGTGAAATGCGGAGCCGAAATCAATCGCGCTGATAAAGATGGTCAGACACCGCTTTATGCAGCTTGCTCTGGAGTTCACGAAAAAACTGTCGAATGCCTGGTGAAATGCGGAGCCGAGATCAATTGGGCTGATTATCGTGGTTGGACACCGCTTTACGCAGCTTCCTCTCAAGGTCACGAAAAAATTGTCGAATGCCTGGTGAAATGCGGAGCCGAAATCAATCGCGCTAACAAATTTGGTCAAACACCGCTCTACGCAGCTTCCTCTCATGGTCACGAAAAAATTGTCGAATGCCTGGTGAAATGCGGAGCCGAAGTAAATCGCGATGATGATGATTGGAAGACACCGCTTCACGCAGCTTCCTCTCAAGGTCACGAAAAAATTGTCGAATACCTGGTGAAATGCGGAGCCGAAATGAATTGTGCTGATGTAAATGGTCAGACACCGCTTTACGCAGCTTCCTCTCAAGGTCACGAAGAAATTGTCGAATGCCTGGTGAAATGCGGAGTCGAAATCAATCGCGCTGATTATTGTTGTTGGACACCGCTTTACGAAGCTTCCTTTCAAGGTCATGAAAAAATTGTCGAATGCCTGGTGAAATGCGGAGCCGAAATCAATCGCTTTGATGATGACGGGAAGACACCGCTTTACGCAGCTTCCTCTCAAGGTCACGAAAAAATTGTCGAATGCCTGGTGAAATGCGGAGCCGAAATCAATCGCGCTGATAAAGATGGTCAGACACCGCTTTATGCAGCTTGCTCTGGAGGTCACGAAAAAACTGTCGAATGTCTGGTGAAATGCGGAGCCGAGATCAATTGGGCTGATTATCGTGGTTGGACAGCGCTTTACGCAGCTTCCTCTCAAGGTCACGAAAAAATTGTCGAATGCCTGGTGAAATGCGGAGCCGAAATCAATCGCGTTGATGTTGACGGGAAGACACCGCTTTACGCAGCTACTTCTCAAGTTGTACAATTGTCAAGTGCCTGGTAAAAAGCGGAGCAAAAATTAATCCAGCTAATAAATATGAGAACACATTGCTCGAGGTGACGAAAAAATGGTCGCCTGGTGAAATGCGGAGCCGAAATCAATCGCGCAGATAATGATGGTCGGACACCGCTTTATATATCCTTAGAGCAAGGACACATGAAAATTGTAGATTTTGTAGACAAAAAGATGGAGCGAAGTAATAAAAATCAATAACTGTCACACACAAAATATCCCGATTGTACATTTTTGTGACCTGCATTATTAAAAATTTTTGAATAAACTTTCAATAACGATGAAACATGGCTTCAGAATTACATAAGTGGGCCATGGTAGTAGAGTCTAGTACGATTGCAATCAGAGTAGGTAATAGTATATTAGTCTTCAAAACACGCGCGATTTTTCGAGCACGACGGGGCAGTCGGAGTGCCACGAATACTTTACGCTATTTTTTTTTGTTGGTACGTCTTGAAATCATCATGTATTATTACTACAATAATGGAAATAAGAATTAATAATGTAGAATGTTTGAATTTGGGATGTGCCATCTGTATACCTTTCGTTGTCAAGGAAAATTAATTTACAATCTCTTATAAGATTAATTGATTGGCACCACAGACAGTTGTTACTGGTTAATACAGCAAAGATCGGAAGAAGCTTGTAAAAAAAGAATACACAGGTTCATGAAATAGATGGAAAAGCAAAAGGTAACACACAGATGAACGAGCGGTGCTTGCTTACCTTTCTTGGGTTGTTCATGTTGCTATAGTAACTTTGAAACACGGCGTGCTTGAAAGTTGGATTTAAACACGCTGAGGCGTACTTGAATCAAGCAAAATAAGGTACCAATAAAAAAAAGTATATAGTAAGTTCCTTTAAAAAAAGTCTATTACGTCTAAAGACAGTACACACTGTAAAGTTTAAAATAATCCAAGAACGATATAAGTTTGGTCTTTTGCTTTTTTTCTATTAGTAATAATAAAAGAGGTATCGAGGGAGGTGCACTCCAATTCTAATCCCCTAATTCCACTTTGCCAAAGTTCATCCAACAATTTATCATTGTAAACAAGGTCAAATGCTTTGCTCAACTCCATTAGAAGACCGACGCAGTTTTTGTTTTTGTCATTATTTTCGTAAAGTTCGTTTAGCAATTGAATGATTGCCGTTGACGCTAATTTTCGTTGTGGAAAACCCAGTTGATTGCGTCCAGTTTTCTCTACAAATATATTAAATCTTTTTGCAACAATTGTTTCTATAATTTTGGAATAGCAACTTAAGTTTGAAATCGGTCAATAATTAGTCATTTTAGTTGGATCATCATTATTAAAAGTTTTCTAATTTATTTGACAATTTAGAAATTTTCCAGCCTTAAAAGAATTGTTTATTATGATTGTTAATATGTTTCTTATCTGAAGAGAACAATGTTTTAAAATGATAGAGTTTAGTTCTGGCCCACATGCAGTGCGATTTTTTAGTTCATTTGTCATATTATATCATATTATAAACTTCAGATTCTGTAACTGGTTTTAGAAAGAAAAAGAGAATTCCTGATTTTTAAGGTAGTATTTTCACTGCAGTTTGAAGATATTTGGTTTTATGTTAAGTCGAATTTGAGTTTTCTCTTTGTTTTTTTGCCTGCTGTTCAATTTTTATTAGAAGAAGATTCCATTAAATAATTCTAATAGTTCTTTTTTGCTGCGTCAATTAATTTTTTGTGTTCTTTTATAACATTTATGCAGAATTCTGGACGTGTACGTACCTTGTTGTACTCAGTTTTTCGCAATTGTTTATTATTCATGTTCATTCGATTTGAATATAAACTGTTATTTTTTTGTTCAAATTAAAACATATTTGACACGATCAACTTTATTCTCAATATTCTTAAGTTCACCGTGCTTTCAAATAAATCAACAATGTTTTCTTAACTCCACAGAATTTTTACAGTAGTTTTAGATGAATGAACAGGTTATTGAAGCAGTATTTTGATTTCAAATAATTGTAGACTATAGGACATAGTCGATGTCTCTGGTACATTTTCTCGTAAATTAACTTTCGAAATAACGTCCTCCATTTTTTCTTTTTCCAAGTAAAATAAAAATGAAAAACCACAATATAAAATATAGACAAATGATTTTGTATTTAAAATTTTTCTTTTTGACAACTATACGTTCTGCCAGAGAACTGCAGCATTTTCGTTTAGGTGAGTGTTCGTCACCATTACATATTCTGTTTTATCTAATCACGTCATTTTAGAAAAAAATTGGCTGATCTTGTGAAAAACCATCGAAGCTGGAAATTATTAGAAGGCACAGTAAACTAAGGTATTTAGATTAATACACTTTAAAAACATTTATGTAAGTCCCGCTTAATTTTACAACGTAGGTGTCTCCGCAGTTTAAGACCACAATGCAGCTAAAATCTTCATCGTCATTAAACAACTACCAGATGAACATTCAACAACAACTTTTCCCAAGAGAAATAGCGGGTTAGAATACCAACTTTGAAGCTACAAAAATGTCAAAATGTGCCCAATAGAATCTTGATCATCAGAGGTTCGAGAACTTCAGAAAACGCATTTCGGACAGAAACGTCGTTCTTTCTAACAACACGCCTGGAAATGTACCCGGGGCATTTTAATGTGAGTTTTAGACGTTAGTATTTTACAGGAGCATAAAATATTAAAAATTCTAGGAAACACCAGGGTTAACCGGATTGCAAAACTCGAATATTCAGATCGTGCTAAGATCGACAGTAAACTCATTTTGTACCTACTCGTATTGCTTATAGGTATATTCTTCTCAGTGTCCGAAGGATATGTTGTGGTGCGACCGAACACGATTTCAATCAAAGTTACTTTGTGTCAACACGCCTTTTCTTAACAAACGTTCCGAGCGAAAGTCACTTTGAATAAAATCATTTTTGGTGGCACCACTGTAATTTTAGGTTAGATTAGATATAGGTATATTTATTCCAATGTACATATGTATATAGTTCCATATGACTGAAAAATTTCTAAACAAGGGAGACTGTGACACGTAGAGTTAGTACGTACTGCAAAGTGGTAGAACTTGTATTAATCACGGCCTCTCATTGTGTGAAATTTTTAAATCGTGCAAATTTGTACATACCGTGTATAAATAGTATATTATTAGCCAAGGTTGCAGAGCCAAGCATTCTAGACCGAGCGCAAATTAGAACCCGAGACGCGCAGCGTCGAGGACTCTGAAGCGCGAGGTCTAGAAGTGGCTTTACAACCGTGGTTAATATACTATTTTTTTCATTAGTAGAAACCATAAGACAACAAACTGAAAAAATAAACGTTCAATTTTTTGACGCAACATGATTTTGTTTTGATTTCTAATCAAACTTAATCTAAATCTTCAACACAAAGAAAACCGTTTATACTTGTCGCTGAGTTAATCATTTTATCTTCTACCGTCTACCAACTACCATGCGTATACTCAAGTAATGTTTGTAGCACACATTTGTTCATTTTTTAAGAAATAATCACATCAAACATTGCATACATAACCTCAATTTTTCTTTTTGAACCGGTCGTCGCAAAAATTGAATTTGCCACCTCTAAATGAGTCGACATTTGCATGCGTCCTGGCTGCTAGTGAAAAAAATGTATTTTGTGGCTAGGTATTTATAGATTTTGAAATGAATTGTTACGACACATTTCAAATTTAAAGCACCATCAACAAGGAACGATGCCCGTTTTGTTTTTAAGTGACGATTATTTTCGTGATCGTACGTTTTAATTTGCACCATACACTTTGACGAATTGAAATTTGTCTGACGTAAATTGTGATAAATCGTCGTACGTTATACAGTAACTCTAAGTGAGTTTGTTCACGTAATATGTTTTCGTGAAACGTGAACTATTTTGACAAACTTGTAATGTTTGATACTGTGATAACCCAAACTTCCCGCCTCTAAAATTTGACCTTGAAACAGTTTGAAAGGCCCGCGAAAAATTCAAAAATTCAAAGTTTGGCTGTGATCGTCTAACAAATGAGAACCTACGTTGTGTGTTTTTTTTTTGTTTTGAAAAATGGCGGGAAGAAGTTCTTTCATACAAGTGCATACACTGTCGAGAGCGCAAGAAATAATAGACAAAAATTGTTTTGGAGGGGGAGTACGGCACCCCTCACAGGGGGAAAGACGCTTCGAAGATTTACTCCTCAGCGCAAAAACCCCCTTTTGGTTTTTATTCCCGGACGACATATTACATTTCAAACACCTTAAGATATTGAAAGAAAAACACTCGCGAATTGACAGACATACACACACGAAAAACGAACAAACGGAAATTCTGTACATCTGTTTGGAATCAATGCAAATATTTGAATATCACAAATTTAATAAAACAAAGCAAAAGCTGAACCAAGTAACTGGATGCGAATACACAAGTTATTACAGGCGTGTGGCGGCCGATCTCCTTTTCCTTTTCTTTTTTTTTTAAGTTACGGCAGTTAACAGGAGCACAACAAAATACCCAGAGGGGGCGTCGTAGCGTGAGCGAAGTTTGGAGCTCCCGGTCTGGGCTGGTTTCCCCCGCGACGGTGATTCTATCTACACCAAAGCCTGCCGCACAGCACCCCTCCATGACGAACATGCCGTCCTAGCAGGCCGTTTCGGCCTACAACTAGAGGTGAAGTCTGGTCAACAACTACCTCGTCGCCCAGACCGTTCCCACTGAAATCTGATTCAAAGCCTGCACATATGTGCAGAGAGCGCGATACATTCCGCTACCTCAACTAGGAACCGCGCCCATCGCAGACACTACGTGATATTGTGTTATTTACCTTCAATTCTATTTAAATGTTCAAACTCTATGACTCTAATATTAAATGACAACCGAACAAGTGTTAAAGTTTCAACAAAGAGCAATACACAACATTTAAATTCGCCATACAATCTTGTGAAATTTTAAACAACAAATAATTCTTATGTGAGATTAAAGTTGGACATCAGAGAATTTACATGATAGAAATATTCATCAACAAAACATTTACAAGATCAAAACTTAGCAAAGATTTATAAAACAAAGATCTGGTGTGAAATAAACTTGTGCAAATAAAATATCATGTTAGGTCAGAACTGTAGAGCATGGAAATTTACGTTCAATTAAATTTATACAACAAATAAAATTACCGAGGTTAAAATTGTGAGATTAAAGAAATATAGTATGATGTGAAAATTGCAGAGTTAACAAAATTTACAAGAGATTAATATTTGCCACACTTTATCAACGGTTCAAACAAAGAGTTTACATTATGCCAAATTATATCATGATCTAAGTGATTGGTTACTTCAAAAATAATTTACTTTGAGAGTTTAAAATACTACGAACTGGTTACCCCAACAAAACACATAATAAACAAACACAAAAATATCCAATCATCGCTCCGAGGAAAAAGCGTATTGGGGATGTAAATTCCAAAATCGTTGCGAGGAAAAAGCGTCTCGATGATGTAAATTTTCTGTGGCGTTGGGGGCATGCCTTGATTAATTAATCAATCTGGCGTTGCGAAACATGCCCCGATGAATTAATCGTGATAACGATGATAACCACCTAAGGGGAGAAAATATCATAACCCCCCCGCCAGTTCGCAGTATAATGAACTTGTTTAACTGCCGTAAATGAACTATTAGCAATCTTGTGTGAAGAATTTAGAAGTGTTATAATGTAACACTTACGTATATGCATCCAGAGACCTATTCGTAATTAAACAGAACGTGTTTTTTTCTGACTAAGTGAATTTCATGAAATCTTCTAGCAAATGGTTGATTTAAATAATCCTGATTGTTAAATTGTGTTTGCTCTAGCTGAGTATTAAGAAAAACTAGCTTGATTGGTGAATTTACAAACAAAGGAACACATTTACACCACGTGGTTTCTCGCGTCCGACCGGAAGTCTGCAATTTTCGGTTAAAAGGGCGCAAGAATTTACCCGCGCGGATTGGGGACAACTGTATCATTATGAAAAATACGTTTGATCGTCGTTAAACAAAGGCTTCCTCCCGTTTTATTAACTACCAAACCAACTAATTTAAACCTAGCTCTTACCACGTTGTTACACTCACACGAAACACACCAGAATTAATCATTCTACGCCATGCTGCTTCCCTCTACCTACCCTCTAACTGAAATCACCCTAGCGCTACGTGCTGCCATCTAACCCAATGATCATGCATTATCCCAACCATGTGTCTATTTGGTTGCCTATGTTTAACGATTTTATTTTCGTGATTGAACCCTTTTTTTTCAAATTCAAATTATTCAAATGTGATTTCGCGCCGCTGTCAATTAATTTCAGCGCGAAAACTTTGATTTAAATTCGGTCACCACAATACAGAGAAAGAGAGCGAAAATGTACAGAAGGGTGATGTTGAATATGTTACAGGTGTAACTATAAGTAATTTATTTACAGTGAAGGTACTACCGTAATAACTACCTTTGAGACAATCTCGCTATACATGAAGTGTCAGTCTCAGAAAATTGACTGTTGAAGTTACGTGCAAGTTAACTCGTGCTAGTAACATCGGCTTTAAACTTGTCATTTCTTGTTATGTTGTTGCTACAATTTTTGATTTATTGACAGTATTTAGTGTATCATGGCTAATGGCTTCATAAATATTTAAATAAGTATATTGTAATAAATAACAAATTTGTTATTGATATTAAAAAATTACTATAATTCGTAATAGATTAGTAAATGATTTATATGTACCTACCCATGTTTTGATTTACAAGTTTTTAATTATTGATTTAATAGACTTAAGTGTAAATACTGTATTTTATGGTTGCTTCAGCCAAATGAATGTTTATATTAAAATGACTTTTAATTTATTGAATTTATTTAATTTATGTCTAAATATACTTAACTGAATTATGACATTACGTTTAATTTTCTCAAGTGAACCGTGCTACTCAGTATACAGAAAAGATGTATTTCAATAAAAAAATGTTAACAGAAAGTACATTTTTCTATCAATAGAATTACTATTTTCTTTAATAAAGTTGTAACCTTGAAAAAAACTGTCGAAAATTGGAAAAACTAACTACATATAAGCGAAACGAATTTACAAAAATGAAAACAAAGCACAATTTACGTTGTTAGATCTACGCAATTTGGTGTCCTAATGGGCAGCGAAAACTAGATCACAAATAAAAAAATTGGTCTAAAGAGTTTAGACAGTACTTCCCTCGCTGTCGGAAACTTGACGACTGCATGCCTATTGTGTTTTTTTTCTCATTACATTTTTGTAGTGGGAATTTAAAAAAAAATTGCGATGACGTCATCAACATTTTTGCAAGGACACGTATATCAGTTGGGATAGATGTAGTGTAATACTAAGAATAAAATTATTATATTCTCAAATTTTCGGGAAAATGAATTGGGTCGTTTTGAATATTGATTTGTAATAATCAATAAAATAACGAAACAATTTACTCACGTATACGTATCAGAGGCAACTGAAAATCGTTTATGTATAAACATTCTTAATTTAAGATGACAAGCGTAACAGCATACGTGAGAGTCAAACAGAGAAACTGTAAACAAAACGACCATCGGTTTTATTGCTTCGACTTCCGCTTATTATATAAAACATTGGGTTTTATTTTAATTCTTGACGGTGAAATTCACAATTGGTTGATTATAAACATGTCTATTTCACATTCGCGGAACCAAGTGAACGCATAAAACAAATGCAGGTCTGTAATGTTAAAGTCGATGTAAATAAGCGTGCTACCCTTATGTTTCAACCGAGTTTTTCCTTTAACAAATTTTGTGTCTACCAAATTGGGTTGGTTGGGGTGTAATACTAATAATAAGTGTTGCCTTTAATTTAATCAATAAAATAAATTGACTTCATTAATTTTTTTGAACCACCTCTTAAGAAAATCTAAAAAATATGAATGGAATGACAAATCACAAGTACAAACTCATCATATTTTTTGCATTTTAGATAGGATTTATTCAGCAAAATTTAAGGGTGACGTCATCAATTTTTTTAGGAGGGATGAAGAAATACATTTTGAACAAAAGTTTACCATGCTTATAATAACTTTAAAATATTCCCAAGATTTCAAAGCATTCGGTTTTGTAATTCCAGATTAAATCGATAAAATAAAATAAATTCACGCCTTCATTAATTTTTTTGAGTCACCCTGCATATGCAAATCCAAAAATATGAATGGAATGATAAATCACAAGTACAGACTCATCATATTTTGTACATTTTAGATACGATTTATTCGGCAAACTTTTGAGCTGACGTCATCAGTTTTTTGTAGAAGATAACCAAATATATTTTGACTAAAAAT